CTTCTCCGAATTTGTCAGTAAACACAGCTGTTTGACCTTAAACTTGTTACATGTTTAAATTTTGATACAAAAAAAAAATACTCAGCTAATCGCATAAAAAGTACAAGCATTTAAAAGGTATCGACAATAATAATCAAGATGTGTAAATTATATGGTTTAATGAAATGTGTGGTCAGATGGCTTCACATATTACTTGAATGCGTTGTTTTTACAACTTTTTCAGAAATAATTGTTTTGACGTGGGGATTACACATTGTTTTAGCGCTCCTATCGTTAATGTAGTGTTACGCTTAAATAAACACCAACAAATAAAGGAAATCTTTGATTTTATTCATCAGACCGGAGGTATCCTATCAACTGAAAACTAATCCAGTTAAGCTGATGTTTTGAATACAAAAAAAAAATATTGGCGCTCCTATATCCAATTAAAAGGGACAGAAATAAAGTTTTTGAAGATTTTTACAGTTTCCATTAATTCTAAAATGTAAATTAGAAATTATTACAATTCAGTGTTCATTTGATAAAATATTTATCTTGAAGACAAGGGATATAATATTAGACCCCGGACATACATGAGACGACAACAGCGCTGCAAATTGAACTTTAGACAAAATAATGTTAACAAATAATATTGACCCATGGTGTAACTGTCAAAATGGCAAACACCAATGAACACACTAACAGAAAAAAAAATCCAGGCCGTGATCTCAGACCTTAAAGTATAAACAAGAACTAACATCATTTTAAGAACGATTCTTTCAAACCAATTATCATAGAGCGAATTAAGCAAATAACTCATTATTTGTATAAAACACTTTTTTAATAAAAAAAAACGAGTGAAAAACAAGTTCTATTCTAAATAACAAGCAAAGTTCCCTCCTCGAAAGTTCAGAAAGCACCCTGTTTAATTACGGTGTTTACGTGTACATTATTTCACAAAGTATGAAAGTAACACAAAACATGGAACGTTTAAAAACATAAAATATCATAAACCAAACAGCAGCATTTAAAAATGTATCTAACAAAACACACCTGGTTATAGCATAGATAGGCTGTGATGTTAGATGGGTGGATTTAAACCGCCGTCCTGTTGCTGTTTGTGCTGTCAAGTGTATTTAATTGTTTTGGTCATGACTAATACACCATACCTATTCCTTGTCATTAGTTTATCCTCGCCACCACGTGTTTAGTGCAAATTTCAAATAAGACAAGTTTATCATTGTCAACTTCCCATTTCTCACTAGTAACATAGCCTATCATGCTCATTATGCAAAAGTCCTTTAGGATTTAAGGAAAAACGGCTTTGATATACACGTTTAACGACATCAATGATTCGTTGACGATAAAATGTTTCTGTATCTCAACTGAATATAGCCACATCTCCGTGGTCTTAGATCGTGAGCTCTCAGAGTATTTTCTTGTGTGTTCCTTTTAGTCATAAGGTCCTAACGTAATCAAGGATTTTTACCTTAAATTTTCAATTTGACGATTCCTGACGAAGGTTTATCAACAACAGGACCTTGAACGCACATATTTATAACGTGTTATTTTCATGGTTGTCTTTTCTTTTTACCACTTTCACCCATTTCTCTTTTGCGACACTTTTGAATGATTCTCATAGAGGGTATTAAATGCAGAGCAGGAGACACTTATCCTGTCGATACAACTGGTATCCGAAACATATCTTTTTAATTAGTTGGTACATTGATAAGTAAATTAAAGTAAATTACTAACACTTACATATTTTATCCTCGTAAGCGACATTTTGTTAATGTCGTTTTTTCGTGAGCTTCCGAAAATTAAATTAAAGTAAAGATTCTAAGCAGGTATATTATTTCTTGTAACTCTCATTCATCTCATTGACCTTTACCTAAGATTGCAATTACATAAAAAGAATGTGACCCTAGACATTTAGAGATGCATTGGTTTATTTCCACTAATATTTTGTTTTGTTTTAATTCAATTTTGTACAGTCACTAAACAATATGATGTCTGTCTTGATTCCATTAACCACATTGAACTAGAAAGTAAAGTCTGCACAATATGTCATATTTTTTAAATTCAAAACCGTTTTGTGTTTCGAAAAGAGTTAACAGAAATATCTGACACAGCAATTCCGTAAATTGGTAAAAAATAATTACAGACGCTGCAAATATTATGTAAACTATTTCTTTCCAAAAAGTTTGTATACCTATAAGCCCATAGGCTTTTCAACCCACTCAACTCACCAACCAAACCTATCCCCTTACATAGAAGGTCTCGGTCAGTTTTGGAAGAACTATTGGTCTTTTATTTTCAATGTCATTCAATTTCCTAAAAATATTTTATTAGAGCTACCAGGTTTATCATTTTGTACAACAGACAAGTGTTTTATAAATGAACTGGCCTTCCAACTGCTATGCGTTGGATTGCCTTAGTAGTTCTTTTTATAACTGAACGACCTCAAAAGGTTACACATTTGTATAATGAACGCACGAATAGTACTTGATTATTACCTTAACTGTCTGTTAAAGTAGAAAATAGTGATCATATTTAAAAATATAGCTTCAATGAACAAATTATTAGTTCTCTACCTTAGTGCTGCCACACACACACACACACACCCTCACATATATATATACATATATATATATGTGTTTACAAGTCTAAATTGAAAACAACATTCAAACCTATGATTGCGTTGGATAAAAACCGCAATTTTTATACGTGTGCATGCAAAACAAATTTCTTGTTAGAGGGGTCTAAATACAGCACAAACAACATTTTCCAAAAGACAAAAAAGAGAAAAAGTATATTTTAACAAAAGGTGTAATACCACCAAATCATAGTACGTCACATCCGGTTACATACGAAAATAGGTCGAAAAAACATATTCCCTTGAATTTGACAGTTGTAGGTAATTGATCCTACATTTCATTGCAGTAAAACATTTCTGGGTCATAAACATATATCTTGGGTATTTCAAAGCACCATTATTTTTTTTATTTGGGGTTTCGATAGAATATTTTGGAAACTTGAGGTTACATGGTTACTAAAGCTTGTACACAGGTAGAGAAAGGGGGAAAATTTGATAAGTTAACTTCCAGTGATGGTTATTTTCTTATATGCAATGAAATGTTATGTGGATTTTTTTCTATAGTACTGAACAGGATAAAACTTTACTCATGCCAAGTATTTCTTTATTTGAAACAAAGATAAATTCTGCACAATTTTTTGAAAAGTGCAAATTTAACAAAGACTAATAGGGGAAAATCAATGGTGGTATTACACCTAATATGGGAAGCTGTACATGCACCTTTGACCTTGTGAGTACTCTCATGTGTTAAAATTTCTTGCTATTTAAGTGAAATATTACAAATAATGAAATATTCTGAGTGGATTGAGTCTCCAAAACACATTATGTGAGAAAATTTCCTTGAAATAGGACTTTACCATGAATATTAGTTTACAGAACAAGCCATAATTAGAGTATTGGGGAGTTTTTTCTCCTTATTTCTTATATTCTGCTATACCAGAAAATTTTTCCTAAGAACTACTTTAATAAATATATAGTTTTAAGTAAATGAAATTATTTTAAAAGCAGTAACAACAAATTATTCACCAAAAGAGAAGCTTTTTATGTCCCTCTCTGGAACGCGGCGTAAATTTAAGTTTTACGTAAGGACTTATTGAAACCTCCTTGGAGACAGTAAACTTTTATACGGATAGTTCATTCAGCTTGAATACTTCAATTAATCATTTATTATAACATTTCTATCATAAATGACAGAAAGTTACCCCAAAATTTTTATTTATTGGCCTAAAAAGTAGAAATTTTGAGGAAATGAGAGGTATAAATGGACCAAAAGAGACCTTATAAGGAAGACAAACAGGTCCATTAGTAGTATTCATCATCATAAAGTCATCTTTTGTATCATATTCAACTGTTTGTAGGCAGATGAGATAAATATTTGATCATTTATTGGTCAACACTATATTCTATCATGATGCGGCTTGGTTTGGATTTTTCGAAGAAATTTTGCTCGAATCGCTGTAGATGTCGTCTTACATTATACTAGATTTTTCTCAAAATATTGAACTGATTATGACAAAACTTGACAGGAATGATTGAAATAACAAGTTTTACAAAGGAAAAAAGTCACATTCAGTTTATTTTACAAAAAGTCTTCATTAGGTGTAATACCACCAAATCATAGTACGTCACATCCGGTTGCATACGAAAATAGGTCGAAAAAAAATATTCCCTTGAATTTGACAGTTGTAGGTAATTGATCCTACATTTCATTGCAGTAAAACATTTCTGGGTCATAAACATATATCTTGGGTATTTCAAAGCACCATTATTTTTTTTATTTGGGGTTTCTATAGAATATTTTGGAAACTTGAGGTTACAGGGTTACTAAAGCTTGTACACAGGTAAAGAAAGGGGGACAAATTGATTGGTTAACTTCCAGTGATGGTTATTTCCTTATATGCAATGAAATGTTATGTGAATTTTTTTTCTATAGTACTGGACAGGATAAAACTGTACTCATGCCAAGTATTTCTTTATTTGAAACAAAGATAAATTCTGCACAATTTTTTGAAAAGTGCAAATTTGACAAAGACTAATAGGGGAAAATCAATGGTGGTATTACACCAAAACGCACTTGACTAACAGGTCGAACAACAAATGTTCTTAAACCCAGCTGACTGCCATTGGCGATTGCAAAATAAACGGATCATCGATGTAATAAATGGATCTTAATTATAAATTTAATACTAAACAGAAAACAATAAATTAGCGGAAAAGATGGTATACCACAAACAAAAGGTGCAAAGGTTTTGGTACACCATATCCGGATTTCGACAATTCATGTCTCTTCAGTGAAGTTAGGGATCATAACGGTATTTGGAAAGCCATACAATTTACCTCAATATATGTTTATATATACCGCAAATTGATCTCTTATAACCAATCATTTATCAATGATTCAGTGTATTTCTAATTTCATATTTTATTAAGTACCTGTTGGCTGTATTGTTGTCTGTGTTTTTGTCATCTGTCTTGTTGTCATCTGTTCTGTTGTCGGTTGTGTTGTTGTCCTCTGTACTGTTGTTGGTTGGGTTGTTGTAGATAATGTTGTCGGTAGTGTTGTTGTAACCTCTGTTGTCGGTTGTGTTGTTGTCCTTTGTACTGTTGTCGATTGTGTTGTTGTAGCTACTGTTGTCGGTAGTGTTGTTGTCGGTTGTGTTGTTGTAGCTACTGTTGTCGGTAGTGTTGTTGTCGATTGTGTTGTTGTGGGTTGTGTTGTTGTAGCTTCTGTTGTCGTGATTGGTTGCGTTGTGAGAGCTATTAAATAGAAAGAAGTGTTCATCCTATGAAATAAACATCTCTTTACAAATGAATGTAATGAAACATTTGTTAACAAACTGACTTATTTTGACTCATTTATAATGTATGCTGATCCATATTTAACCTTATTTTTCAATAAGATATACTCAGTTATAATTCTAATTAACCACGACGAATCCTCAGCGCACTGTGCATTGATATGACTACCCATCACAATGTGTGTTAATTCTGGTTCTCTAGTTTACTCTTATTAACACTCGGTTGTAATCCTGACTTATCATCACAAACAAGGTTTATTTGACTTCAACATGCTCAAAATTCAAATTTAAATGCTTCGTCATAACATTCAACTTTTATTCCAGTTCACTGTATTCGCAGTGCTTTTATCTAATTCGTATTTAACACATAAATTATAACTCCTCATTGTACTTCTTTGTAGTGATTTTCAATGCACCTAGGATTTTTACTGACTCTTCATTACACTCGATGGTTATGTTTTATTCAACATTTCGAATACTCATCCAGCTAGGGTTTATTTTTATCTAACATTTACAACTATTGATTCTATCGTCACGGCATATATTTCATATATTTAGGTAGCATGATTGCCTTAAGGATGTTTGCTACTCTTGTTTTTGACTTTTTGTCAGATATTCGGAATCCTCTAGTTCTACCCATGCAGTGCAAATCAAAGTTTTGGCAGCTTACCACTACATTTGTTTTCATAATTTTATTGCGTATACTTCATAATTCAATTTTTGATAATTTTATAAAATCCTAGTTTTTTTTTATAGTTTTTTTTTTTTTAAAGTTGTCAATGTTAAATGTATGAAAAATCTAGAAAAAAATCATTTCCCACAAATTTTTTAATTGTTCATATCTCAAAAAAAAGGACACAGAACTGTCATTGTTTTCTACTCTTTAAGTACCGTTGATTATATAATATCAATTGATAACAGTCTTTTGAAAATCTTGTTATTTTAAAACCGAGCAGCGAAAATCCGTATAAAGAAGGGAATGTAATGTGTTTTTTTCGTAATCATGTGTAAGGGAAATAAAAAAATACTCTTAAATGAGATGTTAAGCTACAATTAAAATATCAGATGAATGGATGAAATGTTTACTTAATTGATATTGAAGATGGCATATCTTTAAACGCATACATTGCAGTTGACGTGGATTTTGTCATCGCTATCTACAAACTTTGAATTCTTCTGCCAACTCAAATTAAATTAGAGAGATAACTTTTGATATTGATTTAAAAACCTAATCATATTTTTCTTCTGTAAAGCATATTCTATTTCTGTGATAAAGAAAATAAATGACATGTCGAATCTAAAGGATAAGCACAAAAGACATTGCAGACGGTATTCAAAATGTGTGCTAACTCCCACCGATGACGACATTTGGATTAATTGATTGCTGTTAAATACCATTTTCAGCACGATTGGGCTATTTCGTGGCGGTCAGTTGTTATTGGTGGAGAGAACATGAGTGCCGCGAGAGAACCACCGAATTTTGGTAGGAATACTGACAATCTTAGTCAAATAAGATTGGAGTTTAGTGCATCTTCAACGTAAAGGATTGGAACTCACAACCTCAGTGTTGACAGGCTAATGATACAATAGTATGACTACTTAGACCACGCAGCCACCGAAGCCCCTGAACGACTTTAAGTAATACATACGAATGTGCTTTAGTGTATATATTACTCACTGCATTTTGGTGTTGACTCGTAATTATATTTCTGTCACATATCACATATCATTTACAACGATCAGTTAATGGGCATGCGAATCTTACTGGCGGATGTTAAATCTAATTCGTTATATTAAAAGCCAAAAAAAAATAATTCAAATTCAAAGAGACACAGAAAATTTAGATGGCAAAAATCAAGAAGAACGAACAATGGTGTACGGAATGCTACATTGTATATTAATTACTGGGCATCAAGAACCCAACCACAACTGCAAGTTGTTCAATCTTTGTAGGGTATGCAGATCCTAAAACATGATTGATTCTATCTCATCGACATATATTGCTATCATACCACATGCTGCTTCTGTTTCATCGTATTGGAGAGGACAATCAGGGTTTCCATTACAACGCACAGCATCGTCTATGCACCTTCCACCGATGCATCTAAATCCACCAGAAGGACATTGACCTATTGATAATATAATATGATAATATAGTTGTCATTATTTATGATTACTGAATGCATGTGAAGATTGATTTTTCAATCCTAAAAGCTTTTCGAATGCTCCACATCTATACAGTGTTATTTTTATATTTTGATGTCTAATTTGCTGTTCTGATTAAGACCATGTAAGTTTCTATGGTAGTTAAAGACCTCGATTTTGAATTAAAAATTTTTATATACAATCATGTTGAATTGAAGGATTTAAGCAATACACTAAGAGTATCATCAATTATGATATTTGTGTGTACTCTCTACGTATGCGGAACTGGTGAGATTCGTTTATACTCTTATTTTAGAGCTCGTAGAAAAGAATATTTCTATATGAACTTGTTGCCACTTTATGCATTTTATAACACCCATTTAAGGATAATGTCATTATGTTTTGTTCTTATAGTCTTAAGATCACAACGTGCTGAGTGCTTATGATACTTTGTTTAACTTAACCACCCCGTACAACCCCGATACAACTGAATCCGTATGTTGACGTGTACCACTGAGTTCAGACAGTGAAGAATTTATACTTTTAAAGAAAATCTAATATTTATTCATCGGATATTTTGCTCCAATATATTCCTTGTCGTACTTTTTATTGATAACTACAAGGTTTTTTAAATATGTGATATATTTATAGGCAAACATTAAAAACGCACGACCATGCCACTGATAAAAGCATGCTAGCTATTTAAATAAACAAAATTTTAAGTTTCTCGTGCGTCATATTTTTTAAAACATACATTTTTGAAAATATCATTGTTTAGAATTAACAAACTTTTAAAGATCGTAGGTTTGAGTGTTATCTAGAAACAACAAAAAATACATGTTTGAAGTGTCTTAAATTTATTTTCATGTTGTGTACGGTTCGTTATCATTTCACTGTTTTATACTGTACGATTCGCGGCGACAATATTGTATTTGTTAAATGAATGTTGCATGTATTAATGTATGCTTTGATATAATTTTAACCAATATAAAACTGATTTATACTACAGCAAGAAATGAAAATAAGCAAAATATGGTAGACAGCAATCAAAGACAACCAACGGATTATAGGCTCTTGGCCTGAATCTCATAGGCGGATTCAAGGGGGCCATGCAATACTAATACAATAGATTTACCTAAATGCTAAAGGATATGTGTATACAATGTAACAAATAGCCATCGTTAATAAGTAATACGGTTCCTTTAATGTGGAGATGTGAATTTGAAGAGATAATTCTCAATACTAACTGGTTTGCTATCTTCGATCAAGTTTTTTATTATCTTTAAGGTATAAACTTTATGCTTAATTTCCCCGAACATTGCAGTTTTGCTACTGTGATGTCAAAATCCAATTGATTTATCATTTGTCCTAAATATTAATAGCATCTTAAAAATCTATACCCATCCATATGAATTTCATTCAGATTTTGACTTATGTGTTTCACACCCTTATCTTTATGAAAAACCACAAGAACCAACCACTCACAATAGAACTAGCAATGTTATGGACCTTGTTCTCTAGGAGATGGATACAAAGAACCCCGACACACTCAATGTTTCTTGATTTTTGTAAGCCGGACTTGTTGTAAATATATGTTGGATATATACTGATTGATACTTTAGTCTTCAAGAATATGATTTACCTTTGGATTTGAAATAACTATCAGTAACTACAAGTACTCTTATTTCGGTACTTTATGTGTATTGTTTTTATGTTAGATGTTTATGTGCCTTGTACCTATATGTTAAGTTTGCAACTGATTTGTACAGTTTTTTTTATTATGTTGTGCTGTTACACCAGTGTATCTCAATTTAATTGTTTCACATTTTTTATATTGTGGCCTTTTATAGCCGACTATATGGTATAGGTTTTTCTCATTGTAGTATACCTTACGATGGACTATAACTGCCTACACCCACTTCATTTGAACTTTGGTGGATAGTTGTCTCATTGGCCATCATACCACATCTACATATTTTCATATATAAAAAAAAACAGTTGAAATGTCATCTAATGCATTCGGCAAACAATGTTCAACGAGCTCCTCTGGCTGCTTTCGTTTAGACGAACTTGGACCAACAACGGCATTTGAAAGAGCCTCAAATTGCAAAAAGTCAGAGTTATAAAAGTTTTATTAGCTGTACTATATGTTTTGAAACTTTATTTCATCTGAAATATATTTATCATCATTTTAATTCATCTGGAATAACGTTGAAATTCCTAATCTTCAATAGAAAAATTGCCTTCAGATGTGCGCTGGTAATAACATTTCAATTTAAGCTTTTGGGTGACTGATAATTTTATGGTCTCCTATTTCGACAAAGTTTACAGATAAAAATTTACAATGAAACACAGAAAGAGGGTCGCTGATGCCATTTCGAATACCTTGAAAAGAAAGGGATTTGTGACGGTGTTTGTCAACGAATTGTACAGTGATTATCTGTAAAAGAGCAACGAACTCGACACATTTGGTGAAACGAACGGTACAGTAAGAGAAAACCTATTTTGTGTGATATTGTGTTTATTCTGAGTTCTACGCAACATTTGAAGGCACGAAGTAATTTAACCTGTAGTTATTTATTATTGATACGCAAAAGTTTATGTAAGAAAAGATATTCAACGTTGTTTACCTCATAAAACGTAGGAAATTGGATCATTTCTGTGCGTTTTGACTTTAGCAGATTTATTCAAGGTTCTATACAAAATCTGAAACTTGCAACAACTTTATAATTGGTTCGATAAACTACCATGCACATTGAAATATTGATTTATACTCAAATAAGTTTTAGAAAGTCATTCAAAATTGTTGTCATCCAAAATGTTGTCCAAATTATCGTTTCAAACGCGTCAACGTCCGGATTCATTTGAATCGGTGTCATACGGAGTGTTAAGCTGAAATAGATTGTTCTTTGTTTTAGAAACAATTAGAAAGACAACCTTTACGTATTATATATGTATAGGGCATCATTCTGTTAAACTTAAACTGAAATCTCTTGTTCTATGTTAAAGGGACAATTAGAAAAACAACATATTCTTGCTTTATATGTATATGGCATTATTCTAATAAACGTATACTGAAATCTGTTGTTCTATGTTAAAGGACTGGTACAATTAGAAAAACAACCTATTCATTCTATATATGTATATGGCATCATTCTATTCAACTTAAACTGAAATCTCTTGCTCTATGTTAAAGGGACGATTAGAAAAACAAACTATTCATGCTATTTGTATATGACATCATTTGGGTAAACTTTAACTGAAGTCTCTTGTTCTATGTTGAAGGGGCGATTATCCGCAAAAGGAGTTCTTATGGGAAATTGCATTGTCTATATTTACAGAATTGCAACCTATAGATGTTACTTACATTGACTTCCCTCATCCTCACCACTGGGACAATCAATAATTCCGTCACACTCTCGTAGAAATGAGATACAACTGCCATCAGTACACTGGAAATTGGCGTTACATCCTGTATAAATTAAACAATTCATCTGATATGATTTCATGCAATCGGCACAATATCATAGATTGAGCGTCACACAGAAGGCTATAAAACTCAACATATAACATAAGAACAACTCGAATAGCATGAACAGGACATCTAAAACTATTTCACTGTTACTGTGTGTTTGACAATTATCTTATATATTTTCATCTAACTCGGTAAATTTGTCATGACAGGGAACCATTTAAAGAGACCAGAGCAACAATGGTGGGTCAAACCCAAAACACTTATTTAATTTCGTATGCTGTGTTGTACATTGTTAATGTCTTTTGTGACGTTGAATGGCTATCTTGTTGACTATAACACCCATATATATTTATTTGTTAATATATATGTTGAGCATAATATGCCTAATTTAGGAAATCATTCATGGCAGCCGTATATTTTTTTTTTCATTTAACAATGTGTGGGCATATATTTTCGATTATTTCATCTCGAGCAATACACTGGAAATTGGCGTTACGCCCTGTAGTAATTTAACAATTTATCTGGTATGATTTTTTATGCAAACGACAAGATTTTATAGATTGATTGTCACAAAGAACGCTCGAAAACTCAACAAATAACATTTGATAAGAAAAAACCGAAGAGCATGAACAGAACATCTAAAACTATTTCACTGTTACTGTATTTTTGACAAAAATCTTTCAAATATTCGCCTTTGAGCGTTCCTGATGAAAACAATTCTAGAAAAGTGCTTCTGACGCATGGAATTCATAACATGATGTTTTCTTTTTTTTTTAATATATTTTCATCTCACTCGGTAAATTTATCATGAAAGGGAACCAATTTAAGAGACTAATGGAATAAAATGTTATTTTGTTATTCGAGGGTTATATGTATACAGTTCTGTGATGAGTATAACTTGGAACTAGAATTTACAAATTCAACAAATTCTAAATTTCAACCAATTTAAGATTATTCATAAGGTATTGAAGGTTGAGCAAACTAATTATTTTTACTTAAAGCTCATATGTAAAACTCTATTTGCACATGTAGGTGTGAATGTAACGGTTAAATAGAAATTAAAAAAAAATAGAAAAAAAAATATGTAACCAGTGTATTGATTTACTATCCTATTGAGTAGGCAATAATCTGAGATGTGCGTGTATTTTGTGTCGTATTATTTGGATGGGTACTGAGACAGAATGTGCAATTAAGGTCTAAAATATTTCTTCCTCATCTCATTTCTATTAATTAATATTTCTTTTCAAAAATCACAACTAAATTATTACTATCTTTATCTTTTGCCACTATGATTTGGCATGTGCAAGTCGTTGACATCTTCTTAAACAATTCCTTATCAAAATTAGGACTGTTTCTCCCTTAATCGTTTACTGACTCCTTTTTGAGAGTTCAGTTCTTTTCTTTCACGTGATTTTGTTGTTCGTTTTGTTTCACTTTCCGTTATAAAACAGATTGAGATTAAAAGGGTGGGGTTTGAATTTGTGTGTCAAAAGTCGAAACCAGGGCGGGTAAAATCATATTTCAGTTCCCATTAGTAACAATTTAGTGTTGGTAGCATATTTTGATAGTCTCGGTTGCATTATTATAATATCACTACTTCTCAACACCGATTAAGTGTTTGACATATTACATGTATTATTCAAAAAAGTATTAACAAACATACCGAATTCCATGATAATTCAAAATAATCTTAAGGTGGTACCTAACACTACAGGGAGATAACTCTGTAAAAATCAGCTAAACGTTTTAATCACGTTGTATTGTAAAGAAAATATTAAGCTTTTCAATGATCAAAATTAGTGTTTGTCAAACTGCTATATATCCAATGAAAATTTTCCGAGAAAATGTGTGGTTCAAAGTTTTTGAAATTTTTATATTTTTGTCAAAGGGTCAAAGTAAGTATTTTGTAAAATTTTTATGAAAATTCAACGAGCCAAGTTTATTTTAGTCAAGGTGTTAGGTACCACCTTAAATTTAAAATCTGATAAAATCAAAAGTAAGGCTATTTCAACCGACAGAACAAATGGAAAACGCCTGTAATATTCATGACTCTATACAGTCATTTTCCGAAGAAAATGGTGGATCAAACCCAAAGCACTTATTCAATTTCGTATGCAGTGTTATGCAATGTAGGTGTCTTTTGTCACGCTGAATGGCTATCTTGTTGACATTTACAACCACACCCATATATTCATTTATTTATATGAATGTTGAGCATAATATGCTTCCTATAAGAAATCATTCATGGCAACCGTAGATTTATTTTCATTTAATCATGGGTTGGGCATTTATATTCAATTATTTTATCCCGAGTAATAACGAGGGGTAAAATACAAGTATAAGCGCCAAGCCCATGATTAAATAAATACAAATCTATGGCTGCCTTGAAATTTTTTTATCTTATAGGACAAAAAGGTAATATTGTCACACATGAAAGCTCTATACACATGATACTGTTTTTTTACTATTCCATATTACCAGAACGTATAATAATATCAAAAATATTATCTTATTCAATAATAAATAACAAAACTCACATTGTTCACCTTGAAATGTTCTTTTAATCCAATTTTAATACAATTTCTTAGATGTACAAGAAGCCTGAAAACGCCCGAAGCTTACATTGTACGCCAGAAGCATACATACGTTGTCACCCTTTTTACTTGCCAACGAAGATAACATCATTTTGCGGATTTTTGTTGTTTTGAAATTTTACACCATATTATGACTGAAATGGACAGATTTGATTTTTTGCATTAAAATACAGATAACTGAATTGTACATGAAGCTTGGTCTACCTAAAACGTTGGCTTTTACTGTCCCAAATTGACTTTATCTGGTAATATAAATAAGGTGGGCGTAACGTAGAACAGCGAATTTTTGTGTATTACAGCGATTGTGCTAAACGCAGAAATACTGTGGTTATGCTGATCTTTTCTGGTTGACGATAAAAAAGTTATCATATTAGAATGAATAACACATACAAAAAGGTGCAAACGTAGATTCAAGTTATTTTTTGAGTGACATTTTGGAAAATATTATTTTCGGTCCTAGCAGAAAAGCAGAGTGAATACAATGAACGTTTCTGTAGGCAATGGTAGTTGTTGAACTACTTACCTGTGCATCCCTGTTCATCATCACCGGTACCACAATCAACTTTTCCATCACACTTAGTAATCACATTATGACATAAGTTATCACAAGCAAAAGTACCTACGTGATTGTCACACCCGTCTGAAAAGAATGATAATTTAAACAGATATTATATTTCTTTGCCTTTTCTGGTTTAAAATAGAGACAAAAGTAGTTATAGTTGCTACAATCTCATAAGTTTCGAAAAATGATTAAAATCAAGGCAAGGAAAACTATAATCAGAGAGAACAGCATGACAGACCAATCATCTTCTAAACAAAAATTCCGACTTCAGAGGCAAATTCAAAAACGGGAGGTCCATAACATATGACAAAGTCAAATGCTAGCAATCAACGGAACAAGTGAAATTAACTGTCATATTCCAAACTTTGTACAGGCATTTTTCGAAGAAAATGGTACCGTAATTAAGAAGAGTATACGGTTCCACCATATTATTGATGGTGATTGCAAAACGTATGTAGTGTCGACTGTTGTTTTCCCCATAACTCTGTTTGAATCTTTTTTCTACTTTTTTTGTGCTTGTGGACACTCCTTTTTAATAATTTGAAAATACTTTAGCGATACTTATTCCTTGGGACTTATATACGCCATACGAAGCGACAGAGATTATGTAATCAAATAATTCATATCAAATGATTACTGGTGGTTATATCTTCGAAACTCAACAATAAACGTTACCTCCAGATACGCACAAGAATTCGTCCTCTCCAGTGTTACAGTCGGCTATCTCATCACATATTTTTGATGCAGGTACACATGCATCATCTACACGACAAGTCATTTGTCCTGGAGGGCAAACACCTGAAGAAATACAAAATCGATCATTGTCAACACATCAAACACCTGAAGAAATACAAAATCGATCATTGTCAACACATCAAACACCTAAAGAAAAACAAAATCGATCATTGTCAACACATCAGTCACCTGAAGAACTACAAATGGATCATTGTCAACACATCAAACACCTGAAGAAATACAAAATCGATCATTGTCAATACATCAAACATGTTCTTGTTTATCAATGGATGGATCAGATTTTACAAATGGTTCATATATTTCAATCCAATTTAAACCACTTAATGACACAAATAACATTTGTAATAATATTAAAAACACCTACCAAAAGTTCTCCAGATAGAAGTGAGAATGATGTGTTTGAGGTTCATGCTAGCTGCATGCGGAACCGTAGCTCTACTGGTTCTTATGATATTTTTCAAAAATTTGTTGACCAAATAGCTACTGAATATTCCTGTGTTTAAACGTTAGGAATTGTGACCTAGGTTCAAGTCGCAGTTATTTTCAAAAATTTTATTATTTATTACCTGTTCATAGCTTCACAATGTTTAAAGTTCGTTTCGTTAGATATTTTTCTATTATATTACGTACATATTTATGTTTGAATATTCATTACCTTGATACTATTATCTAATTTTCTCCTTTTGTATATGTCTCCGTCTATTTCGTACCGCCATTTTGAATATAGTCGTAATGTCAAAAACATTTCAAAGAACAAATAACGGTATTTTCCTAGATCTCCTATTTTGAAGGTAAAGAACATAAACAGGATATGAAACTACGTATTGGTTTGTTCACGTTTAACTAAGCGGGATTCGTGTGTTTTTCAGACAATAAAATTAAAGTACATGTAAACAAACCAATACATGTTTTCCTATAACAATAATCTGTTAATATTTTTGTCACCACGAGATTCAAAATTGCTGACCGAAGCAGTTTTCAGTATTTACCTTCATCAGGAATTCTCATACTCAAACATTTGAAAGACAAGCATTACTAAATACCTGTATAAGCTGAAATTGTTTGAATCGTAGGCCACCTGATATTTCTTTCTGCTTGACGTTGTGGGATGATTCATTTTCAGATCACCTTATATATTGTTAAGCTTTTTATTGATACATCTTTTAATTAAAAGACACCTCCTTTTACTTTTGATTTTGTATTAGAAATGTTTTTTTACGTCTGAATTCAAGATTTTTAAACCGAACAAATTGAGTGTTTCGTTTATTTTTCGGCTATATCAAGATTCATGCTAGCTTCGAGCCAATGTTTACTTGTTAAAAAAATCCCTCAACGAAGATAGCCTTATTAATTTTTTAAATGTTTCTAAAGTTGATCTTTAATTGATGCGACTAATGAACATAAATCTGTGACATTATTTTGCAAAAATATTCGGTGAAATATATGATTATTTGTAAGAACCGAACAATGAGAGATGAATAAGATTGATTGTCAGCTTGTTGTCTTCGTGGATTCTGTTATAAAATGATTTCTATGAAGTAAGCAAACATATCAATAACATCTGATTTCCTTTTTTGCTTTGAAACGTTTTTATCGTTAAAAGTCATAGTTAGATAATTAGATATTTAGTAACTTACTTCAGCTAAAAACATTGGTGCGGATTTGGAATAACAATGTATCTTCAGTAACGTTCAAGGGAAAAATTATATTTTTCAAATTTTCTCCGAACGTACAAGAGGTTGTTAAATCAAAAGAACATAAACTTTTGCTTAACGCGAACAAAAAGATCAGAATTAAATTAGTAAATGCTGCATTCCTTGATTTCAAATCTTTTCGTCAATTTTGTTTTTATAATTCCATAAAAATACAATAGATGTATCTGTGTTTATGTTAGAACCAAGGTATAAAAGTACTGATGATCCTGTGATACCATCCGGATTAATAAGTTGAGAAGTGTATAAGATTGAGGGTTAAAAAAAGAATGCATATTTTAAATAAGAAGGCAGTGTGTTTACAAATCTCATGGGCAAGTTCTAAATGTTTGAAGAGAATATTAATGCCTGTACCACAAAGCGCCTCGTCATCACCATACGGACAGTCAGTTATACCGTCACAATATTGAGAATAGTTTATGCATGTTAGGTCCATACAGGTAAATTCCGAACATGGTTCTGGTGCTATACCTGCAATTTAAACAGATATGTAACAACATTTATTCCATAGTAAATGTATAGGACTCGGTGGTGCGATGGGGAAGCTGAAGTGCGAGGGTCTTCGCCGAAGTGTGATGGTTCTTTTGTTAATGTGTGATATGGTCTATATGACGCTTGTTTGGTGGTTTAAAATATACAAATGTGCAATTATCATGAGAAGTATAATTTTTTATTAGTAAGTATAAACATTTTCATTCCTTAGTGTCCATCAAACATTTATTGTATTTTGGTATCGATGATATGTTTGTGTATGGTTGTAATAAAGAATCGGTAAAAGAATTATCAACCTGCAATAAGACAGTTTACCATACAAACGAGGATTATGTGATAATCGTATACTGTTTGAACATCACTTATAAGTACCCTGCTGATATTATAGTTCCGTCTATACATTTAAAGTGAATTTCTTTAAACGGCGTTTTATACATTTAAAAAAAATACAAGAATACATGTATATTTCATAATGTAATTGTCCTTAGTTACAGTTTCATATTGAATGATTGGTTGATCGTCTATTTAATTTTGCTGCATACTATCGATGATTTACTTAAAAACCTGACAATCAGTTTATTTAATCCATCGCACCTCAGCATTACCAGCAACGCACTTCAACGTAGCTAACAACATGATAGTGTCACAATGCAACCATTACATTTCAGCGTGTCAGAAAAAAAAAAAACACGTCATCGACAAACCATTGCACTTCAGCGTGAACATCGCGGTTCGGAGTACCACCAAGGTTCAGATTCCTACATTTGTTTTTATCTAAACTGCATTTCAAATGAAATCGATCTGCTACATTTAAACAATGCCAGGCAAAAGTATATTAACACTTTAGTTCAAATTAGCTTTACTGCTGAACTATCAGAATCAGAGTTGTGTATAGATTTTATTTTCTTTTATGTGTTTTCAGATTTCGTGATTATTGATTAATTAGCTCAGGCAACTAGCTTTTTCATAAACACCTATTTCTGGAATGATGTATTTGACTCTAGAATTACAATTTCTAATTGCAAATGGTATCAACATGATGAAGGCGACAGTTATTAGGGCCAGGTGAACAGGTGACGAAAGGTATAACTTATTTTAATATATCATATATGTGCAACTACAATCAATTTATATCTAACAATAAATGAGGCTTGTGCATCAATTTAATTGTTGATGAAAAATGCTCACGTCAGATGATCTTTAATCTTAAAGAGAGGCAGAATATACCGAAGGGAAATCAATTGAAATTCATTAGTCGGAGAGACACATAGAATATGTGTCAAAAACGATAGGTGCATATGTAAAAATATATTTAAGGGGAATAAACGTGTCTGTTGAGGATACCTTTCTTTCTTGAACGGCAGAATACTTTTTAAAAGAATTTAGCTAAACAAGCCTGATGGAAGCAAGAGTATCTATCCCGCAATGACAGGGACATTTAGAGCAGGTTCTGCCTACCCTTGCGGATCACCTGATATCACCCCCAGTTTTTGGTTGGGTTCGTGTTGCTTAGTCTTTCGTTTTCTATGTTGTGTGTTGTGTACTATTGTTTTTATCTGTTTATCTTTGTCTTTTCCTTTTTTAGGCCATGGCGTGGTCAGCTTATTTTCGACTTATGAGTTTGAATGTCCCTCTATTATCCTTCGCCTCTCTTTTGATGAAAAGAGCAAACAAATATATTATTGTACATTAATTAGGCCTTTAGTTTTCTCGTTTGAATTGTTTTACATTAGTCATTTCGGGGACTTTCATAGCTGACTATGTGGTATGGGGTTTGCTCATTGTTGAAGGCCGTACGAAGACCTATAGTTGTTAATTTTTGTGTCATTTGGACTCTTGTGGAGAGTTGTCTCATAGGCAATCATACCACATCTTCTCTTTATATATATGAAAGATATTGCGCGTATATAGCCTAACAGTCTACCTGTTCAACTTTACAACTGTAAAACATGTATATTTAAACTAACATTTAAAGTTGTTTTAATATTACAAATGCTATGACACCCGTTGAATCTACTATAATAGCAAGATAATGCGTAATTTAAACCTAACATCAAAGAATTTAACATTTTCCTGTCTTTTTTATATATCTAAGAATGTCCCTAATAAAGCATGTGTTGTTAAGTTGTATCTAGCATCCTAATGAAAACACTTAAACGGAGATTGATTGAATAACATTAACAAAATATTACAAAGCTTGTACTTTCATTTAATGTTTAAATTGACCTGTTTAGACTTGTAATGTACATTGCACAGACTTATCATATTTAAAATCTACATAAATCAGAACTTTAACAATGATGATAATAGTCGCATGATAATACAATCACGATTCAGTTTTAAAAACTGATTTTTTTAATAATGTTCAACATTTTACTTAATTCGCCGTTTCAGAATCTAATGAATTCTAGATAATATTTACAAAAACGTAGTGATTGGTGAAAAACGTCCCAAACAATGGAAATTCAATCAATGACGTGACGTTATTTGCAGTTTTGGGTACGAACAATGAAATTACCCATAGACCTTTAGATTTTATAACAGCCAATTCATATGTTGTTGTTACATATATGTATATATGATATATAAAGCATACAGTATAAGGTAGTATGCATCTCAACTTACAGCCATTCTCGTCTTCCCCAGTAGCACAATCGGCAAAATCATCACATAGATAATCGATTGGAATACAAACATCATCGTAACAAGCAATCATATCTTCCTCGCAAGCACCTTAGAAAACAAAAACATAAGAAGCGTATAAATCGGGGTACAACACAATGTTGACTACTGTACCCCTATTTTTTACCTATTATGTCTGTGTGTTTTGTTCACACATCGTTGCCAATATAATGGAATTTGATGCGACTGTCGTACAAGTGAGAGGTTGAGCTAGTTATAAAACCAGGTTTAATCCACCATTTTCTACATAAAAAAATGCCTGTACTAAGTCAGAAATATGACAATTGTTATCCATTCGTTTGATGTGTTTGAGCTTTTGATTTTGCCATTTGCTTAGGGACTTTCCGTTTAGAATTTTCCTCGGAGTTCGGTATTTTTTTTATTTTACTTTTTTTGAAGGTCAAATCAGGCAGCTGGAAACCAAGATAGTAAACCTAAAATCATATTGTGATATAAAGAAATTTGATTAGACGTGTTTACCCTTCTGGAGCACCCGTTTTACCGATTTTTTTGTATCAACACGTCAAATTTAAGCATTCAGTCGTACGCAAGCCCATTGATGATACACTCATCATTGATAAGTTAAATTCGAGGTCACAAATTAAAAAAAAAAACTATTGCCGCGAGTTGTGTAATTCGTTTTCTCGATATCAAATTATATTCTAGGTAGGTCTTAAACGTACGATGGAAATCGAACATAGCATATTGAAGAAGTTGTTACTGTCAGTTAAAATCCAAATAAATCTGATTACGATTTTAATCAATTGCAGAGATGCTACCTGCTGTTTGTAGATAAATAATAAAATGTTACAAACAAAAATAAACATCATGACTTTTCCATTTCCTTTGGCGGGACTTTTCGTGAAATGTGATTTTTTTTTTATAGATATCGACATTTAATTTATTCCTATCTGATAAACACTTGGAGACAAACACAATCTGTATCGAAACGTGAATATGTAAAAATGAATTTTTAATAAAAGTATTGCATCTGCAGCGTTTTCTGGATTTACCTTCACAAGGAACGCCTAAACGAATTACAAAATATTTCTTAGTTTATCATCTACGATGATCACTTCTCTGTCAACACTGATATTAGAAGTTAGAATCCCGCTGGTTGTA